ATTTTTAACGGTTTTAAATGTAATTCCAGTGCTTTTGGAATAGCACCGTGTGCCAATTACCACTGGAATTACCACTGCTGGATTGTGCCATAGTCGTTGAATTTCAATTTTTAAGTTGTTGTTGTTGTTGTTGTTGTTGTTGTTGTTGTTATTATTATTATTATTATTATTATTATTATTCAACATTCAATGTGAAAGGACTTTGGGAAACAAAGCTAATATTTGACAAACAACAAGACACGTTTGTAAGGTGTTTAAAGTTCATTTTATTAACAATGTATCCCTTTGATAGGAAGATAATGCTTTAAGAGGCCTGTAATATCTATAGACATGAACTGTACACACTATACAAAACAAAACAAATTTCCAAACCAATGAAAACAAACAAAAAAAAGAATCAAGGTGAGCCGAACCTTTTTGGGACAAAGCCTTTTTAAAATTATACACAGCTCATGAAATTGTCATACAGAAAATATATAAATACTTTTTTTTCTTTCTATGTTACAGGTATATAATATAAATCAGATTTCAAAATTCATTCAATGACCTACAAACAATAGAACCTCCAAATATGTAGCAGCTTGTTAACTTATATGGAAAATTGACCATACGGGATAGGGAAAATGAGTCTTTTCATAATCTCTCCCCCACCCACTCCGAATGACTAATTTACATAATTTCTAACCCAGGCATCATTTGGGTTATTGGCATCTATTATCCCCATTTTTCACAATAATTATATTTACAAATTGTGTCCCCCTCCCCTCCCCCTCCTTGCATTCTGTGCTATTCTAACCTACGCAGTCGCAAAATGGCAGCAAGATACCTTTTTCTTTTTGGCATAAATTATATTTTTCCCCAAATTAAATAGTGTCTATTTTACAAGCAAGTCAGGCAAAAAAAGTGCACTTTCTGCATGCTGTAGCATTGCTATCCAGCTATTTTACAAAAATAGTCCTAAGGAAAACCACATTCTTTACTTTTTACTGAAAGCAAAAAGTTAAAAATGTGTAGCAAATCTGGCATTTTAAGAATATACAGTAATCCTCACTAAAGTTCTAAAAAAAAAATCAAAATAAGGCTATCGTTGCTAGATAATTTCTAACAGGGATATGTATTAGAAACAGATGATTATTATACCTCCAAATTGTGAAGCTTCCAAGGAATATTAAAGGGGGGAACCTTGTCCATTTACAGTGTCACATAACCCCATTCAAAATGGCAAAGCACGCACACACACACTCAAAATCAAAGGATAATTATGATTATTGCAAAAGAGATTATTCAAGGGACATTTTATTTCCCCGTGATTATACAGAAAGGATTAACATATTCAAGGCAAGATTCAACTTAAGCACACCTAACCTTAGAAATGTTGTCTTTGGTTGAATTATGCCTCGTCTATCTGAAATTAATGTTCATGTTATAAACTGGTTATTAATTTTGCAAAGGCTTTGTTTTGTCATCATGTATAATCTTTCCATGATACAAACTGTAACCCATTGCTTTCAACTATTGCACGTGAGGGGAGGGGATGAGGAATGCTGTCCACTATTACTGAGGATGAAAGAGTTCAGGAAGCTTACTGAGCTGTGGGGCTGATTCCAATTAGGTTATAACAGAAGAGCATTTTTTGTTGATTCACAATAGTTACTAGAACCTATTTAGTAAAGTAAGATCCTAATGGTACTATTCAGGTAACAACTTAAATGCAGTTGGTCCCAAAATGTATGAGGACAGATCAAATGACTCTTTGGGTGCTTGCAGATAGCTTTTACTTGGCCAATGTTGGAGGCCAACTTATGCATTCTATGTCCCCACAGATGAATATCTAAATCTGCCTTTGATTAATGTGACGTCTTTAGATTCTTGACCATGCTGTGGTTATAAAATGGGGCCTAGGATCATTCTGAGAATGGAATATTAAAAATGGAGCTTTTGTGACTCCTCCAAAATCTGTGATCCGAAGGACTCTTGGGAATTATATGAAAGGTTACAGTGGGAGAAGGGAGTTAGTAGAAATTGGGTGCTTTGACATGAACGATAAGATTAAATTGTATGCTACTTGAAAAATACAAAATAAGGAAAAGTTGTTTCATAATCTAATGTTAAAATTAAGATACTTTGGGACCTGTATCACTGGAGATGGAGATGCTAAATGTGAAAAATCAATTGCAAGTTTGGTTACTCACACTGTTTATCCTTTCCCCCCAGGAATGCATCATAAGAAAGATAGAAAATAACAATTATGCTTTGTCATCCATAGCTTGTTATCTCTTTCATTCTCCTTCTACCACCATACATAAATACTCCAAGAAAGTATCTTTAACTACCCCATGTACAAATAATTGCCAGTGTTTGTGGCTGAGGGAAGTGGGTGGAGTGAGGTTTCCAAAATATAGGAACTTGCTATGAGGGTCCATTCCAAAGCAGTCGCAAGCATTAAACATCTTTGCAAATTATTTCATCCTTTCAGTAATGAGGAGGAACATTTAGATAAGATTTTTTTTTTCTAGAGCATTTCTGGATTATGCCATCCAAGCCTTTCAAAATGACAAGGATATCAGGGCTGTGCATCATTTGAAAATTAATTCCAAAGAAGTGTTATGAAGCCCATACAGCAGGGGTGTCAAACTGGCAACCCGCAGGCTGGATGAGTCACATGCAGGCCACGCCCCAGCTCCGCAAAGGCAAAAAAACCTGTTGTGATACGTCGCATGATGTCACGTGACACAATTGAGTTTGACACCAGTGCCATATAGGTTTAAGCACAGCACTTCCCGGTTCTTAGTTAAAACTTCTCTGAGACTTAAAAAAAAACAACAGCTGCTGCTTTAATGTGTCTTTAACGCTTAAAACAGAAGTTTGAAAGAAGATATGGCTGCTACCCTTACGTGAGGTTACAAATGCTTCTGCCAAAATGCTTTACAGCATGTACCACCCTGATAGCATTTCCATCATACTTATAATCTATAATGCAAGTGTAGATTTCTTCCATATTCTACTGTATTTACTCCAAATTTGGGGTTTAGTGATCAAGAGAAATTGCTTCAGAGAAGTACCTAAGCTGAAAGCAACCCATCACCCAAGGGGAAACAAATGGGGCTCCAGAAACCTTTTCGTTCTACTTGTCAAGTGCAGAAGCTGTTGATCTGTATGTAACTTTATGGGTACAAATAGGTTCATTACTGTAAAAAGTCAATGATCTGTCATGTGACAGTAAGTAAAATGAATTCATAATACATGAATTTCTATTCAGATTCCAGGTATGTTCAGTTACAACAAATTGATTAACAAAATAAGTATAACATCATATAGATGCAACATTGGTTCAGATACTACAGCCACCACTGATTTGTATTTTAATGCAATGACCCAAATTTACTTAATGTTATTTTACAATTTTTGATGATGCCGTTGTCCATACAGCTAAGGTCAATTGATCTTGGGCAGTATTCTGATCAGAAGCCAAAACTCTATTTTTTTTTTAATTTCAAAAAGTTATGTATACCAATATATTATTATCAAAGTAGATATATTAGTACATTTAGCTGAATTTAATTTTCCACTGTAACTAAACTGTTTTTTCAATAATGACTATAGTTGAAAGCTCAACTATCTTTGTTTTAAAGAAAACCTTTTCATCTACTTTTGCCTTGAAATCAAAAATGCAAAACACCGAATAAATGAATTAATTTCACCTAGAGTTATCAATCTATAGATCATAATACTCTATCATTACTGAGGTAGTATTCATAACTACTATGTACAATCAACTCTTTGCTTTTTTTTACTGGAAGTATTGTACGAATCCTTTGGAATTTACACCACCATTTGGTCTACACTGTGGCTGCCATTTTGGTTCTGCACAGGAGTGTTATCACAGTTGTTTTATCTATGAGCAAAGCATCTCTAAATATTGGTGGAAAATTATTAATGAACCCTGCATAACAAGCTGTAGCCCTTCCTTTATTTTTTCCTGACCCACTTCTCCCGCCCACTATCTTTTCCTCAGGAGGTTCTCATAGAAATTATGGAACTACTGTAGCTTCATGGCTCTCCAGATGTTCCATAAATTATTGTAATGCAGTTTTGCCAAACACTCACGAGGAGAAGATGCTGAAATCTAGACTCTCAGTGGCACACACTTCTCTCTGGATTATATCTGTTGCTATTCCTAACATAAACTTTACTCCATGGTTCAGAAACAACAACCACACCAACAGGAAGCAGAGGCCACCCCATTCCCTCCTGTAGTCTCTAAACTAAAAACCTGAAAGAACAGGGGAAAAAACCCTCACCAGTTTAAAATACTGTATTTAAAGAGATTTCAAACTTGAGAAGGAAATATTTGAAATTTCTCCAATTGCTCCTTTCCTCAGTTGTTGTTTTTAAAAGGTCACTAGAGAAATAATAATATTATTAATAATATTCTCAATAGACACTCAAATTTCATGTCTAGAAATGTAACAGCAAAACATTATGAACTCCCCTTAAGATTATTCAGCTCTGGTTGTGAATGGTAAAACTCCTTATGACAGTTCTCTAGGTTATCCATACTGCATTCTCTATGTACCAAAGTAACATAATCCAATACCTTAGAGAGGATTAGACTGACTCAAATATTATTCTGATGTATCTCCCACCTAGAATGTTCAAAGCAGTATAATGAGGTAACGTAAACTTCTGCTTGGAGGTAGAAGACATGTATTTTCTTAAAAGGTTTTAGGAAGAGGAAGAAAATGCTTCATCCATAATAACTGTGTCCCATAATCTTATGTAGAATGTCTTTATCTGGTTTGTGAGTTCTTATCTGTTGAATAACCTGTTCTTGAGAGAAGTTAGAAGCTAGAATATAAGTTAAGTCAGGTATCTTAGAGGTAATTTTCTTTTGGGAATTATAGATACGGATCAGAGTGAACTGACTCTCTTGTACAAGTCAGTATCTTCATTAAGTTTTCTATTTCTCTAGAAAAATGCCATCCTGGAAAGTATCCCATCTAGTAGTACTTTAATTTGTGGATCAGTTATTGTAGTTCTAGCCAAAATGGCAGGAAGAGAATTTCAGGTTTATTCTAAGGATTCGGGAATTGGTGCCTAATTCTTGTGAGGAGCCATCTTTTTTTTTTTTTAAAGCGATCCAATGCCTTAAGCTCCAGATGTTCTACCTGGCAATTTTAGGATGGCAGGGGGAAAAATAGTTTTCAGTTTTATGTGTAATGAACTATCAATCCTGTTTCTTCAACTATGAGATTTTACTTGTGATTTACTAGTCCTGAAGATTCAATTCAGATAAACCTCTGCTTCATCTTTCTTAGCCAACAGTATGTTTGTAATGATGGTGTTTCCTTTCTTCTAGAACTAGAGAACAAAATCATATTTTGATATGACAATGTACTGAACCTAGACATTGCTAGTTTTCATAACAAATACATATATGCCTCTAAGAACAAATAGCTAATTTCATCTCAACAAGCAAATATTTGCATACTTTTAAGGGGAGATAAACTTTGATGGACATATTCCCAGTACAGTCTACCTGAATTATTTCCATACACAAGAAATGACCAAATAACCTTAGAGATTTTGTAAACAAAACAATTATACATTTGTAAATGTCCTTTGATTCTAAAGGAGACTTTTCAATTTGGAAATAAATTCAATTTGTTTCAACCTCATACTTGCATAAATTTGATATTGGAGAGAATGGAACTACACACCATCACTATTACACAATTTGTGCTAATTTTACCAAGGAGCAATGTAGCACTTCAGCACTGCACATTTAAGGCTTTTCACTACAATTATTGGTATTATCTTGCCATTAATCTTTTGTCTGTATAATTGAAGCAAATGATTAGGAGCAAATTTAAAACCATGGAATGTGAAATTATTATTTTGCTTGATAAAAAGCAGCAATAAGTATTAATTTTACTTGATTTACCTGACATAAATTATTGTTTTTGAAGATCTACATTTAGACAATCAATCAATTACTGGATGAACATTAATGTAGAACACCCCATTACAATGCATGCATTACATGGAGATAAATCTAATTCCAGGGGAATGGTGGGTTTCCCCCCTAAATTCAAACTGTAGTGAAATTCATTAATTGGTTCAGTTTAACATAATTACATGAAACTGTAACAAAACTGGAAAGACTGCTAATATTATAACAATAAAATAAGTTAAGGTTACTCCCAAACCTACTGAAGATTTTCCGAGAGCAGAAATTGTCCAAGTAGTGTTCACAAAAATTAAGAAATATATCAAGGAAATCCCCTAATATCATGGTTATAGCATGCTCCATTGACAACAATGGGATACAGCTTAAGATACCATGTCTCTCAAATCCAGGGTAAACAAGCAAGGCATCAACTCTGTCCAAAACGGAAGTCAAAAGTCAACCATGTAAACTAGGTCCCGTGTAATTTGTCCTCTATTTTTGTGACATTGCATTTAAAAAATAAGTGAAATGAAAACCTGCATAAGTGTCTGGTGCTTCATTCTTCTTGCATATCTTGTTTCTTTCGTTGTTTTAACAATTCCCCTCAGGGCTCAGATGGCTTTGGAAGCAAGTTCCGTCGAAGAAAAATTCTACAACTGAGCATCCAATTTCATGTACCAGAATTCCTGGAACAATTCAGAAGATGGCACTTCTCTGTTGCCCAGTCAGTTAGCTGTTATTGAATGCTACCAGTAACTTCACATTTATCACATCATGGAACACAAGAGGTCAAGATTCAGTTGATGTGCTATCTGTTTGTTGATTTGACAGTGAGACTAAAATAGCTTCTGCTTCTTCATGCATCTAGAAGAAAATAGCATGTGCAGTGTTTCCAAGGCAACTTATATCGGGCACCAACTTGGTGCCCACTTTTCTCAGAGTTCATTAGATTTTAATTCTACTCACCTGCAAAAACTGTACATCTTGAAAGAGTTCTTGAATGAATCGTCTAGATGGCAATCGAAAAGTGCAGTGAGCTAGCAAGTAGGATACTTCGGAGTAAAGGCATATATCATCAAATGCTTGGGGAAACTTCTCCTTAATTCTGGACCATAAAAAACAAGGAAGCATGTTTTAAAAATGTTCTAAAAATGTTGACAAATAAGCATTTGAAATAAAATAGGAAAAAATACCCAATGCAAGTAAGTTAGGTTCCTTAACTAAACTTAAGGAACCTAATCTAAATACAGGTAGTGCTTGACTTATGAACACAATTTTGAGTTTCAATTTTCTGTTGCTAAGTGAGACATTTGTTAATAGAAATTGGTCCATTTTATGACCATTCTGCCACAATTGTTAAGTAAATCACTGCAGTTATTAAGTGAGTAACACGGTTGTTAAGTGAATCTGGCTTACTAATTGATTTTGCTTGCCAGAAGTTTGCAAAATGTGATCACATGACTCTGGGACAATTGCAACCACCATAAATATGGGTCAGTGTTAGGCGTCTGAATTTTGATCACATGATCATGGGGATGCTCCAATAGTCATTATGAGTGAAAAGCAGTCATAAGAAACTTTTTTCAATGCCATTGTAACTTCAATCACTAAATGTGCTTTTGTAGGTCATGGATTACCTCTATAGGGTGTTCTTGACATATGACTCGACATATCGATGGTTCAAATTAATAACACCCTCAGAAAGGATGTTTTAGGATCTGTAAAATACTTTCAACTGTTGCAACCTTTTTCTCCCTCCACAGTCATATGATCACAGCCTGGTGCTTGGCAACTAATCCTCAGCAATTCCTTCCTTAGTCCTTTGAATCATTTCTAACATATTATTGTGAGTTCTATTTTGAGATACAACATAAGAAGTGCCAGAAGTACACCTATGTGTATATGTATATAAAGAACTTGAACTGATTTGTGTGCAATATGAGAACAATTCCATTCCCGATTCAAAGATAAAAGGAATATTACTTGTAAAAGCTAAGAATAATGGGGGAAGTTTCACTTACGTCAAGAGACCAGTTTCATGACCTTTAGTTCCTACCGAGCTACTCAAGTTGATTACTAATCGCAAAACTTCCTTTCTCAGTAGTATGCGGCATACTGGAGTATCATCTGGAATTGATTTCATGCCTTGAAAAAGAAATTTAACATTATGTTAAACTGAAACAGTATTTGTACTGTGTTTCCCCGAAAATAAGACAGGGTCTTATTTTCTTTTGATCCCCGAAATATAGCCTTGGCCTTATTATCGGGGAGGAAGGTTATTATTTTGGAGCCAAGCTCTTCGGGAGTCCGCTTGCAAGAGAGCAGCCACCCGACAACCCTCCTCTCCAGCCGGGCAGAGCGCCACTCACAGACTGAGCAGTATCCCAAAGGCGGCAAGCCGCGTGAGCCAGGGCCAGGGCTGCCACCATCCCAGCACTGAGGATGGCTTCTTCTGAGCGGCTTGTTGGGCCAGTTGTCTGCTGCCGAGTCTTCAGGGAGCCGAGACAGAAACTTCCAGCAATGGCCACTCTGGGAGTGTGCTTCCCACTCTATGGTTGTGGCTTGGCTGCTGGAAGACTCTCTGCTCCAACTCCTGGAAGACTCGGTAGCAGGCGGCTGGCCCGACTGGCCTCTCAGAAGAAGCGTTCCTCAGTGTTGGGATGGCAGCAGCGGTGGCAGCAGCAGCCCTGGCCCTGCAGGGAGAGCTGGCCCAGGTCGTGGGCCTGCCTCCCCCCCCCACTCACATGGCTTGCTGTCTTTGGGATACCAGTGGGTCGGTGAGTGGCTGGAGGGGGGGGGGGGAGGTTGTCCACTGATCTTATTTTTGGGGAAGTCATTTTTGCCCCCTCAAAAATCTGGCATGGGACATATTATTTTCAGGACATATCATATTTTTGGGGAAACACGGTACCGACTGAAATATCACTAGATAACATTGTCAAAGTCTGTTATTTTAAAGATGCAGGCCAATGGGCATGAAAGCAATTGTCAAGTACAAATGTTATTCTTTCTGGTTCAAATGGGCATACTTACTTATAAGGGGGACCATGGAAAAGCAGAATGAGCTAAATCCCAATCAAAAGCCCAAAGCATATATAGCTCTTCCCAAACAGGAATGAACTATTCTGGAGGTGACTATTGGATTAGGAAAAGACCCAACGTTTCCCGTGTGCTTCATGTTCCCCTCCTACCCTATCTTTTAATGATATTTATTATTTCTGTTTTTTATTATTTTAATTTATACTAGTTTTAATATTTGTAAGCTGCCTAGGATCTCCTCTGACAAGATGGGTGGCACATAATTTTAATAAATCAATAAATAAATACTGGGAAAATATAAAAACAGAAATTCTGCAAAAAGTGGGAAAGTTAGTAATGCCTGGATAATTAATAATCATTTTGATTATTCCAGTGTTAAGAAGCAGGGTGCAAAGCTGGGATTTCTGATGAAAGCATCCAATAGCCAAGCAACAAGAACCACCAGAAGCAGCCTTTGTGAAAAATAACTCACCTATGATGAGATCAGTACTCTTGGTACTAGTAGCTGATCCATGGGATACAGCATCACTACATCCTGAAATTCCAGAAAACTTCGAGGAATGTGAAACCACATCCAAATGATTATGCATAGCCTTTCCACACCAGTCTGAATAAGGAATGTCTGAAAATTCTGATAAAGTTTGATATAAGATAGATGGAATAATTTACATAGAAAAAAAATCCAGCATGATATACATAATTTACATAGAAAGAAAAAAAACCAGCACGATACAGAACTGAATAACTTAGAAACAATCCAACCAAACATGAACTATTTTGATAACAATGCACTAATAAAGGAAAAGTATTGTAATGATGAATTTATGAGGCAGGCACTATGGTTCTCAAAACAACAGTAACAATGGGAAAGGTTAATTTCCATAGGATTTGCCACCTTGAGAAGTTAAACATTCAACGAAGGTTTCTAGCTTTCAAGATTATGAAATAAATTTTGGAATTCTGTCTGAAGCAGCATCAGAAAATGGAAGCAGAATGGACAACGCTTCCAGTCTTCTAGTTATTGCAGATCAGATTCAAGTTGCTGCCTGATGCAGATCTGGTAGCACTAACCTGGGTGACTATATGCAGAGTTCAGTTTGTTATTATGCTGACAATCGAGGATGTGTGTACAAACACAATAGAGACAATTATCTTCAGTGTGTTCTTGGAGTCCAGTGTCTTCCATGTTTTCTAGGAACTGGGAGGCATCTGAACGACTTGTGTTCATAATCTCTGTAAGACTTATCTGCTGACGAAGCATCTGGAAAGGACTCTTTACAAGCTCAGCAGACTCACATGACAAACCTGGAAGCATTTGGTTAAACAACAGAAAATGGAACATAATGGAGCAATACAATAGCACCTTTTGCAATTAATTGCCCAGAGTTGTTTCAAAATGAGATGGGCGGCAATCAATCAATCAATCAATTCCTATAATTCTCTTAAGGCATATAAAATAATAAGCCCACATTTGAATAAATTTCAATTGTTAAGGGAACTTTGCTATAGCCTCATAAAATAAGCACACTAATAAATATCTGTTTATCTGTATGTTGCCTAACACTACAAAAATGTTCTCAATACTTCATTTATCAAGATCCAGAGAACATTTTAGGCAATCCAGTCCTCTATGGGGCATATTCTGCTAGTACAGTGGTGGGCAATTTATTTGCCCAAGGGGCCACATGAGAAATGGACTGTTGTGGTGGGCCCCAATACCATCGTGGGCCCTGATGCACACCACCAAAGCTCCACCATTGCTGATATCCAACGGCACCTGTGGGTCACATTGGGATCGTCTGAGGGCCAGGTGTGACCCGTGGGCCATAAAATGCCCAGACCTATGCTAGTATAACATAAACCTGACTTTATGGGATATGCAAAATTAAAATGCTGTGAAGTAATGTCCTACCATGTAGTTACCCCTCTATATCTCTTTTTTTGTCTGCATGAAGATAATTCCATTTGAATATAAGGCACAATATAAGCCACAGTGCTTTGAATATACTCTCAGAAGTGAAAGTCCTAGAATCTGTGCTATGAAACATGACTGTCATATTTCATATTTCAGATCACAGGGGTTAGAAATCAGCAGTTGGGATAAACACTTTCTTCCTAAAGGAGGTAGTGCAGAGCTTAGGGAAAGTGGCAGGTGACTATGTAAGCCAAAAGAGAATAGAAAGCATACCTGAAGCATCCTGGGCAAAGACTCGACTGCCCCGATCATCATAAGAAAGCATAGTTTTCTTCTGGAAATATGGGGTTTCTTTTACCTGAAATATTTTAAGGCAAAAAATTATGCAGATCAAGTTTTAAAAATAGTCATTATTTCTGGAAACACTGAGTAATTCCAGTGTGAAGTATTTAACATTCAACAATATTCCAGTAAGTGTAATAAATTGCAGAATGTTCTCTATATATCAGGGCTAGGGTGAAATTAAGTGTTTGATGCAGAATAGCAACCCAATACTTAATATGACTAATTCCCTCTCTTAAGATAAAAATATTGTCCACATACCTGAAATATTTCATTGATGTCAACCGGGAGAGCAAGTCCAATGTAATCGTCTGAGCTACCATAGGTAGCATTAGACACCATGGAACGAACAGAAGAAGAACGCTGCAGTGTATTTTGGTTTATAGGGCTTAATAAATCTTCTTTATCTAAGGATGATGCATAGCTCAAAGCTCTCATGAATCTGTAACATGTAGAAGGAGCATATTTAGAATAACAGCCCTGGTTTTATTATAATGAGTATCATATTTTAAAATACCATGGCTAATTTTAGTTCAAGTATCAGTTTGGTGTAGTGGTTAAGGCACCAGGCTAAAACTAAAAGACCATGAGTTTTAATCCTGCCTTAGGTATAAAACCAGATGGGTGACCTTGTCGCTCTCTCCCAACCCTAGGAAGAAGAAAGCCACTTCTAAAAATCTTGCCAAGATAATTGCAAGGACTAGTCCAGGCAGTCACCAGGACTTGAAGAAACACCGAAAAAGTACAAAATTCATATGCTATTTAATATTTATCTAGTCTTGATTAAATAAAATAGAATTTCTGATGCTTCCTGAATCTGAATGGTATCATGCTGTCTAGTAAAAGCCTTATAAAAAGTAGGGGTCTGTATGTGTTAAATCAGAAAAGATGGGTGATAATAACAGCACAAATAAGCCACAATCCTTTTATATTTGATTGATTGATTGATTGATTGATTGATTGATTGATTGATTCATTCATTCATTCTCTCTCTCTCTCTCTCTCTCACACACACACACACAGTTACTGTGATAACAACAAAGAATAATTCTGCCATGGCAGCACTCCGCTGTAGCCAGTATGGATCATCTAAAAATGTCCTAAGTCATTCTTCATTCATTTGGAATCATAGGCTACTAATACCTCTAAAAAACAAGATAGCAATGGAAATAGCACTTAAGAGTTATATACCGCTTCAAGTACTTTACAGCCTCTCTAAGCAGTTTTATAGAGTCAGCATATCGCCCCCAACAATCTGGGTCCTCAGATGGTCAGAGAATAGCTAAATGTAAAGTTATATGAACATTATTAATTCACTTAAATATGAATGAGCAGTCTCTGATTTTTTTCAGACATGTTCAGGAAAGAGATAGCAGAAGGACTTCATACTGCTAGATAATTGATTTAATTGCAGGGAAGAAAAGCAACATACAAATACACTACCAGACACTACTACTACCAAACACAGACATCATTTCCCCTAGATGTTTAAATGTTAACACCTTTTCTTTTCACCATTTTAAACCATTTTCTCCAGCTTTAAAATTAGAAACCACCTGTGCATGATTATCCAGTTGTTCTATCTCAGGGTATCAAACTCGCTTCATCACGGTGGTGTCATATGACGTATTGGGACATTCCCCCCCTCTTTGCTAAACTGGGCATGGGCATGGCCAGCAATTGACAGATCCGGCCCACGAGCCGCGAGTTTGCCCTGTTCTATCTAGCTTAAGCAGTGCTAATTCTCTCTTCACATCTTGACGCCTTACAGCTGTTTTAGCAGAGGTAAAAATATTATAAGTCTTCTTGGAAAACAGATGTTCCTCAAAATGTCCTGGGAGAATAGAGAGATCAGTATTTCTTTTAAAAAAAATTCCTCTCCCATGATAATTTTAATGATGAACAGCAGAAGACGATATTACTCACCGGTTGGGCGTTAGTCGAGAGTCTAGGCTACCAGATTTACTTGTGATTGTGTCTGTGAAGAGTACATCCTTTGCTGGAGAAGCCAGGGCTTCAGAATGTGACAGAGAAGGATGCATCCTCTGCTGTTGCAAGCGTTTCAGGGTTGCATATCCAAATGCATCTCGAGAACTGGTGTAGCTAAAATTATAGTCAGCCAGGCTTTTTATAGTAGCGAGGGAAGGAGCTTTTAGTGACTGGGCCCTCCGAGGAAGCGTGTGCGAAGACCCTGGCGGTACCAGGGAAACAGAATTTGACTTTGACAGAGGGAGGTGGTTAGACTGTGGGGTGGAACACTGAATTGTTTTAAGGGTCTTAGTACTCACCACAGTACTTAAGCTCCCACAGTCAGTGTCTATATTGGTAGCATCCACTCCCATAGTCTCTCGGGAAGGGCTTGAGCTCATTGAACTTATGCCACTTGTGGTCGTGTCCGTATTGAAACTCAAACTACGACTCTTGAAATGAGTCTGCGTGGAACCTTCTAGGAGTCTCTCTCGGCTGGAGTTTTCCCTGTGATTTTCATGGCCAAGACTTTTGGGAAGCTTAAGGTCATTTTCACCAATACTTGGAGTACTATCGGCATCTTCGCTATGCTTGCTCCCAACAAATGAAGTTTCTAGTTTAGTGTGAATTTTAGGAACCTTGAACACTGGAGTAAAGTCATCTCCCCGTGTAAAATCCATGCTGCTGCAAGGTTCCGTTACTGTCCGGTTTCGCCTTAAACCCATCTTGTTCTCCAAGGAAGACAGCTTGCCTGCTTTGGGGTCACTGCTGCTCCTCAGCTTTTTATTGGGTAGGGTAAGAGAATTCAAGATGCGATTCCTGACAAGTCTGCGGGAGGAGAAAAAGGGGAAGGGATTGCGGTCCTTATCCTTCACAGGCCCGGTATGGTCATAGAGATTCTGTTCTGCATCTTCTGAGATATTTAAGAAAAATGTGCTAGTGGAGGTGCTGCCAATCCGGTCATCTTCCAGGATGAACATGCCTGAAATGAAAACAAATGCTCATGTTAATTATGTCAATTAAGGTTAGTTCTACAAAGAAGCTGAACAATAAATGAAAGCAACAAATATAGAGTTTATTGGGGATGAAATCTTTACCAATATCATTTTACAATTAGGCCAGGAAACTTTCTCCTCCAATTTAGCGATAGAGTACCTGGATTTCATCTCAGCATGTTAATCATGACAAGTATTTATGACATTGTTTTCACCAATTTAAATTTTTACATAACAGTTCTTATTTAAGCATGCATTTTAAATCTACATTTTCATATAGATCATTGATCATACAATTAAGAAATGAAAAAAATATTTGATTTTTTTCAAATGTAAATTATGCTTGAAATGAGTCCCAGCATAGATTAAATGTCTATTGGCTCCTGTATCATGGTCCCAATCTGGATCTGCCACAGATTTGCAATTTACTTCTTAAAAAGCAAGCAGCTGCTAGTTATATGAATGGTTTCTGAACTAATATTATCTCAAGATCTTGGAAAAACTAAATCATTCTTTCCAAAAATGAGTTCAGAGGTGCAGGATGTACCTAGGTATTTCTGGCTAAGAAACCACTGAGAGCTACTAGCAAAACAAGCGAACTAAATTCACCAACAAATACATCTCACAAAAATAAAGTTTGCCCACCTCTTCGCTAATTTATGACTGCAATAACACATTATTGATGTTAACATATTACCATTAATTTCAATTATTAAAATTAACATTATTTACCTTAATATAATTTGGAATTATGTTCCTTGTCCACAATAAACCAAAATTATTAATTAGGTGTAAAAGACTTTGTTGTTCGTTTACAATATGATTCTGCTCAACAAGATGAAAGCCAAAAAAAAAAAAAAAAGTCTTATGAGGTAGCATGACCTAATCTATATTGTACTTTATGAAGCACGTTCAATGAAAAAGGTCAGCCTTGTA